CTGAACAGGCGCCTCCTTTAATTCTGACAAAAAGAAAAGTGTTATTTTTTCACGTGTGTAAGGTCATGGCAGAATGAGCGTAGATCATATAAAGGATCCAAGGTTATTTTTTTATACATAAAAAATATTGTTGAATATACCCTGAAAATGAAGCGTGTCTCTAGAGAGACCCATAAGCAGGACTCGCCACACACATATCTCCCCTCTAGGCCAGTTTTGTCCCTCAACTTGAGTTGTATATGAATAATAATTCAAATGAATGGATTTCAATGAATGAGGCTTGTCTCAAGAAATGGATTCAAGCTCGCAGCAGTCCAAGGTCACAGAGATTCAGTGCTGTGTGTACACCTAAAAGAATACACAGATATTAGTGCCCTGTCATGTATAGGCAAGGCTACAAACAATACAGACATTTTGCTTGAGTGTACGGGTTGTAGTAACTGAAAGAAAAAGGCTCGCTGCAATTTACTCCTGACTTTTGTTTTTCATCTCTTAAAGCAAAAACAAGTCCACTGTAGACATTTCCATAGTGAATTTTACCGTCAACCAAGCAAATGATTTAACACGTTTCTACGAGACTGTATAAAGTAGGTAAAAGCCTGGGCTTAAAATTATTTTTCTGGCGTAAAACACTCGCAAAATAACTAATCGGCTTTTTTTTTTTTCCTTCAAATGCAGCACAAAGACTCAAAGAATAATGAGGCTCTGTTTTTTATTTTACAATGTGTGTGGCATCTACGTGAAAGCACGTACTCCGCTCTCCATCCCCTCCCTGAATGTTTTTGTTTTCTGTTTCAGTAATCTAAAAAACATGTTTTCCACGCTATTCTGTATCTAGAACCATCCATCTCAATTAGGCTCCTGTGCTTGTCAGGAGGGAAACAACATAATCTGAATTCCCACTGGAAGGACTCCCAGCCTCATGCAAAGGGCAGTGCATAGGAAGAAATGAGCCTTATCAATGAGCTGTTTTTAGGTGCTGGGGATCCCATCATGCTCCGACTCCCACAGTGATAAGGTATAAGGATGTCCAGATATGATAAATATAGTAAGTTACTATCTCTTCCCAGTAAGCTAAGGCACCACTATGATGTTCTAGGCGGTTGATGCAGCACAACTAATAAGATATTTTTTTTCTTAAATCAAGTGAAATGTTGATAAAGGTAAAATAAAAAGCAGCTGTGGTTAGCCTCGTTTACTCTACCTTCTGTAATCATTATTAGAAATAATGTATCCAGCTGAAATTTTTTTATCTATCTGGGCATAATATAAAGAATTTCGTTCACTCTACTTTATGCTTCAGTTCATTGAAGTTTGTGTGCATTAACTCTTTAGCTGACGTGGGATGGCTGTGGCTGTGGAGGTAGACTAGGACGTGTTTTTATCAGAAGGTTGATGGTTTGATCCCTGGGTCGTCCACTTTACCTCAAGTTGATCGTGAGGTGTTGATCAAAGTGCAAAATTGTTGTAAAAAAAAGTGATTCGGTGAATGACACATTCTGTGTAAAGTGCTTTGAGTGCTCAAGTTGACTAGAAAATGCTATATCAGAACCAGTCCATTTACCACTTCAGGTCCCACCAAGGTCTGGACTTTGACTGGGCCATTGCAACACCTTGGTGTGCTTCGAATCATTCTCCTATTGCATGACCCAATTTCGGCGTGTCGGATAGATGAACTTACATTTGATTCTAGAGTATTTCGGAATACAGATCAGTTCGTGGTCGACTCAATGACTACAATGTGCCCACTTCTCGTGGCTGCAAAACAAGCCCGAATCATCACTGATTGAATGAGGTGCTGATGTGCCGTGTTTGGTTTTTGCCAAATGTGGCACTGTGCATTACAGTCAGAGATCTCATAAGACCAGATACAGATACAATTTTATGAACTGAAGCTGTGTTGCCATGTTGCTTTTCGAGGCAAGAATCTCTATCCTGGCAACATCTGCAAGCAAGCCATACTTGTTCAGTCTTTTTCTAAATGCACTGTAGTAACTTTAACATTTAAGATGCAAACTGAGGCCTGTAGCTGAAATGTTGATCTTGGTTTTTTTTGCACTTTCTCTGAGGATTGCACATTCTGACCTTAGACATCCACTTCTGGGAAGACTGGGAACTCCCTTGAATGTGTACTTGTGAATGATCTTTCTTGCTGCATAATGATGGACCTCAGATTGCTTGGAAAAGATTTCATAACTCTAAGCAGCAATAATGGCTTCTCTGTGGGCATTGCTGATGTCTTTCCTGATTGGCATTGTATTAACACACACCTGAACTTTTTGTTAAATAAGTACCAACATTTCATTTTAAGACCTGCTAACGACCAGGCAGAAGGTTTACCTTCTTTTTACAATGACTGCATGTTGGCTGTTGGTGAATGATACCGTTGTTACATGTTTTCAGGTTAAATGGTTTGCTCTTTACCAGCCAAAACTGGAAGAAATTAAACAAACATTCGTCTGTCTTTACCCCACCTTTAAAATAAACCACTGTCTGCAATTACATAAAAATACAATAGTATATTTAAAAGATACCTGATGACAGGTTTTATTTGTGATAAATTGCCAGAAATCAAAGTTAGGGACAAGAGTTTCACTAACAGTTCAGGGAGTTGTTTTACTTTATGCTGTAGTACTAGACATTACATAACTGCAGAGGTGTTTATAGTGTTTTGGCTCAGAGAGTGCTTTGCGCAAGTGTTATTGAGGGCTCATTGGAGGCAATATATTCATGATTACATAATGTCACTTGACATCTTTATTGCTTATGTGTACCTGAGAGAAAATCTGTCAGACAGCCAAGAATTACTGGTATTCATCCAAGAAAGTCCTAGTGCTAATTGTCTGACTGAGTATATAGTTTTTCACCTATTACTTCATTCTTATGAGAAAGCGAAAGCATCACTGATAAGAACTCTCATCTTGTATTTGTCACAGGGAACCCTTCTCATCGAGACAAGTGTTTTATATCCTAAAAGCAAGTGTTGGCTTTAAAGCTCCCAGTGGTAAAGGTTGGTATTTAATCAGATTGTCTTGCTGAAAGTTCATGATCCGAATAAAAATATACAGACAGAGGGACATTTTTGAGATGGTTTAAAGATTAATGTTGCAAAAAAATGTGACAGGATACATTAAGAATTTAGCGATTCAGATTCCATTAGTAATATTACTCATCGATTGAATTTCTTATCAATTCCCTTATCGATTCTCATTGGGGTCTCACACGCTCTGCTTTGACAGTTACCACCATCATTAAGCAGCATATCAAAGACAGTACATTTGTGCAAATTAACTGCATGTTGTGTGGTCAAATTTGTGCACATGTAGGATGTATTTCCTCTTTGTTGTAATCAGTGTTGGGTCATTACTCAAAAAAGTAATATTTTATTCAAATTACAAAAAGCTAATTTATTAAAAGTAATGCAGTATGTTACTTAATTACTCCAGGGAGAAAAGAATTCATTATATGCCACATAACATTGTTTTCACCGTACTGTGTAAAATGACCTGACACACACTGTCTCATAATTACCATTACAATATAACAATATAAACCCGAGGCTACAATCTCACACGCCAACACAAATCCCTATCCTGATGAAGACACACATATGATCTTCCTCTTAGTATTAATGTATGAACACAAAGCCAAAAGCACAAGTCAAAGATGAAAACCAGCGCAAAGACACTTCAAAGTCACTGCAGCAGTGATTCTTCTGTAGAAACGAAGGCTGCAGCCTGACTGCTTATGTGTTTGTTACCTGATAAAGTTCAGCAGCAGATGGCTTCAACACTGCTCACAAATGAAGGCTCTCTTGGCCACAGTCCTGGGCTGGGTTCAACATTCACTCAGATTTAGCGTAACTCTGGGCTTTGGCTAGCTTAGCATTAGCTTGCTGTCTGTGCAGGTGCTTGCAAAGAGGTGAAATTGTCTTAGCAGCATAATACAATTGTTTCTGTCCTGGATGCAGTTTGCATTTTACTATTGTGCTCTTGTCTTTTTATGCAATAAAATTAAAAGTAATGCCCATATCCACACTGTAAAATGCCCTGCTTCGGCAACTAAAATCAGCTGATTGTAGCGCATGCGCAAAAACCGATAAACAGGATTGATAGGCAACCAGAGTAATAATTCCAATTAATTCAACTACAAGTTAACAAAACTCAAGGTGAAGTCAGTGTGAAAATGCCAAAAACCTCCTCAGTTCTAAAAATGGCCACTTGAGGCTGGTTTCAGAAGCCAATGAGTCCCTAAAGGCTTTCATGTTAGAGTTACTACATGTTTATAAGGTACTAGAAAAACACTTTCAGTTTCTCAATTTAATTTCTCTTCTGATAACAATCATGGAAGATTTTTTTTAAACTCCTCTCTTGTAATTTTATATTATGGAAAACACTGGTGTTATTTTTTTTTCACGTCTAAACACTATTTGTTAGGTATCTGTGCAATGCGCCCATATAATAAATGAACCTTGCTAAGAGAGATAGCTTACATTAGCTATTTTACACCACCATCTTCTTCATATATGGTCACTCTGAGCTCCAAAATCCAAGGTAACAACAGCCAGTAATCAGGATCTGCACATCCACGTCATACAGCTTGTCATTTGAGATCAAAATGAAGAAGAAGGTAGCTCAGTCATGATAACTGCTAAGCTTGGCGTTGCTAGCTTACAGGTTGCTGTAATGATAATTACATCAGCAAAAATACCCGTAAATGTCAGGCATGCTCAGTGCCAAACACTGAAATAATGCCTACAACGGAATTCTGCTTTATGCCAAACTCAAGGCTTCAAAATGGTACGCATGTTGCCAATGTCCATCTTTTATTTACAGTTCATGGTTACCCACCTATTTTCTTAATGCTTACTTATAACATCTAATTTAATGGTTTTAAGGTTTGATTCTCAATTTTATTTAAAAAAAATAAAATAAAATAAATAAATAAATAACAAGATCTTTTAATCTTTAGTTGGATTTGACAGAGACCAAAACTCCTACCTGCCCCTCTCTGTTAACTCAGTCCAGCTTGGCAGCTTCATTAACTTGAAATTGCAGCGGCATAAATGCAGCATAGCAGGACAAAGACTCGTATGTTCACCAAAGAAAAATAGCTCTCAGCCAGACTGTTTGGAGGGTTGTTTGTCAATTGTTACATGACAGGACTCCACCACCACTGAAGGTTAAGTTGTTCCCGCAGGGGAATTTTTTTGAAGATGCGGAAAATTGTTTTGTCGAAATCATTTGCTCTTACTTTTCTTTGTATCTGTAACTGTGCACTCAGAGGTAGTATTTCAAACTGAACAAAGCCTGACCTTTCTGCTCTCTCTGCGGGTACCATTCACGTGATCAATAGGCTGTCAATGATTTCCTTGTCTTTTGAGGTCAGCAGTGTCTGGTGGACTTCTGGGTCAAACAGGGTACGTTGAACCTCAGCTGTTTCTTTCCATTATGAGGTTTCACCTATTTTATACCTCATTTCCAAAACTTGTTCCAACTTCCAAAATCCTACGCCAGCCCAATAAATTTATATCTATTTTCAGTGTATTTTTCTATTGTCCTCCCTGGGCTCTCTTTATCCGGCTAAAATGTATTTTCCTTTGAAATATTTTTCTAAAGCATCTGCTGATTAATGTCCAAGCTCAACTTTTAAACAGAGATAAGTTTAATTTAGGCGAAACATAGTTCTCAGAATACTTGAATTTTTTCGATGAATTTTTTATGTGATTCTAAATCTTCGTGTGTCTCGTCGTTCTTTATTATAACATTGTTATATATTACAAGCAGTGCTGACCTTGACCCTAATTCCACTGCATTGTCAAACTTCTCTGAGAATTGAACATAAAGACATACTGTTAACATCTCATGTTGGCCTTGATAATGTCACTCGGTTCAAGCAGATATTTGCTCTTCTCTCCCATTGAAAAGCTCTCTGGGGCATGGGGGCCGAATCAAAGTCACTGTCACGCTGCTGGCGTCATCCTGAGAATGACACATACCACAGCATGGACTCCACTGAAAAAGGTCATAAAGGAATATTGCCTGACCGGCACAAATGTCATCAGCTTAATTTCACTTAATTTTTAATATCGGATAACTGGTATATGTACAGTAGCTGTTTTTGATATTCAGTTTGTATAGTTTTGTGTTTGGGGTTCACATTCTTCACCTTAAAGAAAATCTCTTGCGTGAACAAATACTTTATTGAGAGTCTTTCAACTAAATGTAACTTTTAAACTAAACTCCATTTATTACCAAATATTACAATCTGTGACATGTCTATAAGGGATCTATGACCCCTCCTGCTCACACATTTTAATCAAAACTTGTGTCTTACTCATGAGATTTATGACTTAAGACAGCTGAGAAATCAAGTGCATCTATCAGATGTGAAAAGATACCTGAGAAGCCTTTCCACTCTCCGCTAATATCCTAAAAGATTCAAATGTGCTTTAGTTCAGTCTGTTAAAGTAAAAAAAGCCCACTGAAAATGATTCCAGGTTGATTTCAGACTTCCATTTTTCCTAGTTTCACTGTGAACTCTCATGTGCATCTTCAAGAGACTTTAGTCCATTTTCAGAAGTTTATGCGGCACAGAAACGCCCCATGGTAACCAATGACATCTTTGGGCTAAAGTCGGCTCCATCTGCTGGGCAGGCTGAGGTCTTTTTGGGTGTTCAGGACATTACTGGGGAGCTTTTATGACACTGTGATGGCTTCTGCAATCTTTTATGCCATTGTCTGCAGTGGAGGTGGCAGCATGGAGAGGGACAGGAAATTTCTTAATAGTCTGGTGAAGAGAGCCAGCTTTGTCTGGTGCATTCCTCTGGGCTCTATAGAGGACGTGAGTGAAAAAAGGCTGATGTCCATTATGGACCCCCTGCATGAGACAGTGGGAGCCCTGACTGTTACTGCACTATCGCAGGTCCTTCATCCCAACGTTAGTCAGACTGTACAATATACTCATAGATGAAATACCTGCTAAAATAACTATCACTGTATCTATCTATCAGACCGAGCCTTTTTCTTTGCACTTCTTCCAAGCACTTAAAATGCATCACAGTTCTTTAGATTATTATGAGTCTCTTGTCTCTTAATTTAAAGCCTGTTGCTGAAAATATAGGAGTTTGATTTGGCTCTAATTTTTGCAGGACACGCACAGAAAATGTTTTCCATTCTTCTTTCCTTTAAATAAGTCACATCTGCAGAGTTAAATCAATGCTGTCTCACCCTAACCTAGAAAAAATCATTTATGCTTTTATTTTCTTGAGATCTGGCTTCCAGCTTTTGGGCATAAATGGAAAATGACTCTAACGTCTTTAGCTCAGAATGTAGCATCTGGGCTTCTCGCTGGTTTCAACATAGAGCATCACATAGCCCCAATACTAGCTTCTCTCCAATGGCTCCCGGTATGTTTCAGAATTGATTTTAAGATTTTAATGATCACTTCTGTGGATATAGCCCCGAGCTACATAGTGCAAATGCTGGCCCCATACAAACCTTAGAACGTCCAACGGAGTCCCAGCTGTTCCAAAGTCGATGCTTAATTCTACATGCTGGCTATACTTTGTTTTCTTCTGTGTGCATTAACTTGCAGATAAATAAATAACACTGGGTTAAAAAACATAAAATGACAAACATCCATTTAAATCCATTAAGACACTCAAGTCATTACACTTTCACATCTTCAAGATGAAAAGATGTAAAATGCATTAAAACTGTTCAGTAATTACTCCCTAAATCCACAAAGGTGAATTTATTTTCAGTGCATGCACCAATGCCAAACTGAACGACTCCCCAGCTGAGATGGAATCAGGGGAGAAAAAAAACAATTTTACAGCTTCAGAAATCATTTTGAGGTGAATGCTGTCATAGGGAGAATGGTCGGCGCTTTCATTACTACTCTACAAGGAATACCTGCCTCGCACTAAGTGGGTTTAGTCGGCACAAGCGCCAGTGAGAATTGTGTAAATCATTACAACGCCAACTTTGGAGCTTCAGTTAGCCAGAAACAAAATAAAAATGAAACAAGAGACTGATACCGGCAATACTACAAAAAGACTGCACCTATCAGTGAGTTGAGTGCAGATGAAAAGAACCTTTACTGGCCCACTGCCCTGGTTTTATACAATTTATGAATAAGACGAGTGAGTTACAACAGCGCACACTGTAAAGAACCTGCAGCCAGTTAAAGAAATCACTTGGATGGGTGAAAATTCTCCATTGAAAACACAACGTCCAGATGAACAAAATCAACTTTCTGGGTATTGCTAATGTTTTTACAAAATCTCCAGCGACAGGTGGCCCAGAACTAGCAGGGACTTAGGTCTTAGACCGAGGGTTTTAAATGTCTGTGTATTTGGGCTTCCTTTATGAATCATCAACTATAATGTTTCTGTTTTTATTGATGGTATTTAATATACCTCACACCAGTCTCTGTTTCTATTTTGCCTTCAAGTCTAACTTATTAGGTTGTGTTTAAATTGGGTCTCTGTATCTTGATTATGTATTCTGTTGTCTGTGAAGGTTCTCATCACCAAGCCATCTATGTCCACTGTGAACGGCCATCTTTGAACAGAGGCGGCAGCTTACCACACCAACTGTCTGCAATCTTTAATCCAGTTTTGAGATCCCTTCTCAGACGCCTTAATTCCCACTCACATCCTGGACCATTTGACCTCAGGAAATCACATGATAGGGTGGGGCTATAGGTTTCACAGCGGGATCACTCGAAACCTTGGCTGATTGTGACCTACACCCATTTTCACACCTTGGCTCGTGTGATTAGGTAGAGGATCAACAGGGGGTTCATGACCCTATTGGGAGAAAGTCCCCTAGGACTTAAATTTGAGACTCTCCACCATTTGACCCTGGAACTGAAGAAGCTTCTCGAATGAGAGGTGAAACGTCTTCAAGCAACTCAAAGAAGTCAAGACGCTTTTCTTTCCAAGCTCCTTAGACTATGTATTCTGTTCAGTTCCTCTACTCTTGTCTCTGCATTTGTCCCTTTGTCTTTCTTCTTTCCAAGTTCAGTTGTGCCAAGTTAATCTTGTCTCGCCTTTCAGTCATGCCTCTCTTCCTGTTTTATTTTGGTGATCGTTATTCACCGGGTCTTGTATTTAGGTCTACTTCCCTTGTGTTATCTTATGTGATTAGATTTGTGATTAGTTGTCACATCCTCCCTCATGTTCATGCGTCTCCCTGCTTCCTGTTTCTGTGTTTCCAGATTGATCTGCTGCTGCTGAGTTACTGGCAACAAAGCTGAGTTTCTAACTTCATTCCTGCCTCCCGAGTCCTCCATCTGGCTCCACACTTCATCTGCCACACAGCCGTTACATGACATAAAGAGTCATGCAACAGACTGTTCACATGTGACAGTTTGACAGCCTTTTAAAACAGATGCTATAATTATAATGTGTTCCAGGTTAAGATGTAAGCTTCTGAGTTCCCAGTTGGAATTTTTATCTGGAATGTCCCCTTAATTACAATTTCCAGCTAGGATTTCTGATAGTCTGGGCACCCCCTCCAAACCAAAGTTAACAGTCCAAGATGACAGCAGTGAACGTAAACAGTAAGCTGAATCTCTACTACTACTTTTTTGTATTTGTGACCTGCAGAATAATCAAGGCACAGACCATTTAACAGGGTCTATCCATGAATCTGCTGCAGCCATCTTTAACCCCCCCTAAAAAAAACAAGTATTGGACTTTTTTCCTACCGATGCATGAATGGTTCTACCTTCCGAACAATCAAAACAACTATAAAGGAGACAGTAGTGATTAATGGCTGTAACAAAGAGCTTTAACTTGCATTATGTAGAGCCGAACAGCCATAACTCAAACACTATCTCCAAGATGCTAGTTCTTCTCCGAACCGTTGATTGATCAGCTGTAGTTTTAGCTCCACATTTTCTGAGCCTGCCATGAAACAATCCCGCTCTTTGCAGCAAATGTTTTCCTCTCGAGCTTCAGCTCAGGACAGGAATACCACCATTTCCCTGAGGTGATGGCGGTATCTTTCAGGATCAGCTGTTGTCCTGCCTCTGCCCACATGCTCCATCAAATCACATTTTCTAGTTG